CTATATACTATATGTATATATATATATATATATATATATATATATATATATAATTCATTAATTATCATAAAAATCGCAAAGTGATACAAGCCTTTTTATTCAGTGTAACTTATTTTATCTGTTAAAAAATTATTACCAAAATTATTACCAAACACCCCATACATATTCATTCATGCATGTGAGCATATGCATTAACTAATTTTTAAAATATCTAATTTAGAATTTTTGTTGTTTTTAGAGCATTAGCTTACCAATTTCCTAGATTAATAGATGTGGATACAAGATTAAGAGGAGTATTTGTATATAATGATTGAGGATTTCTCAATTTAATATTTACAGATCCTAATAATTTATAACGTTCTTGAAGATTTTCAATTTCTAGATTCTACACATTAATAATACAATGTAAATATTTTAATAATTAAAAAAGTTAGTAAAAATTAGTAGTAATAATTAAAAAATATACTTACTTGTATTTCTAATTGCGTTTTTAATTGTTCCTTTTCTTTATAAATTTTGTTGATTTCTGTTTGATGACGATTGGCTTGCTCTTCAATTAAACGTATTTTTTCTAACTTCTCATTTTCAAATCGTAGTTGAGTTTGTTGTAGTTGCTGCCGCAGAAATACAGTTTCACCATCTTTTGTTATAAAGTCATTTAAAAGTTTTTTATTTTCAGTTTTTAATTTTTCCAATTCTTTATTATCTATAATACATAAAAGAGATTAAAAATTGCATATTTTATTTCTCATTAAAAATAGAAATTGTTTCATTTCTTTTTATTTATCAGAATATCAATTAATCAAGCATATCACTATTACCTGATACAATAAAATTATTTCTGTTCTGAAAAGTTGAATTATGACTTTTTTGGTCTATTAATCTATTTTTAAATTGAGAATAATTAATCTCTGTTGTATCCTGACTATATTGACTTGTACCCTGTATATTTTTCTTTGTAATCTTAAATTGAATTTTTCTGTTGGTAATGACAATTTTGAACATGAAGTTTCAAGAGAAGTAGTAGCAATTGTTTTCTCTGGAAAGCTTGATTTCATTAAATTTACATTTTGTTTTAGCGGCTCCAAATTATTTAACAAAGTAGTTTCCTTAAAAGTAATGATTCAAATTATAAATGAATTCCATCATATATTTTTAAATTAAATTCTCTTTGATAAATAAAATACCTGTACGCAAACTTTAGACGCAATTAAATCCATCTCCTCGATATCCTCTTCATTGAAATCATCGCCCCAAAGATCATCATTCTGGGCATTTTTATTTTCAGGAATTTTATCCTGTATTTTGTGATATTGTAGATTCTTAGAAATGTCAAACTTAGCTCGTTTCGTAGGCATACGACAATCATCTGTTATCATCTCATCAGATCGTTTAAACATTGTGAAGCAAAACTATTAAACAATGTTGGAAGCTTTCCAAGAGATTCAGGCGACACAAAATGACACAGTGCTCAACACAGTGCTTTCCAATAACGACATTACACAGAATACATAGCTTAAAGCTGAATTGCGGCTTGTGTATCAAGTACATGGCTACCAACTATTTTGAAAAGATCAAAATTAATGTGCTATAAAAATTTGGTAATCCTGAGGAAACAAATAATACAATCATGATGTAAAAAGGAAGTGTAAGGGTGCTGTCACATGTGGCGTAACTTTAGTGTTGCTATTAGGGCCGCTTTCTCGCGCATGCGTATTATGACCAAGTCATATCTAGGGCTGTAACATGACATACGTATATAATGGATGACACCTGTTTGAGCACATCCCGATTGATCATTAGCCACTTACAGCGCTTGAACAGTGGAAAAATTCTAGGCACCAGCACCTGCGAGTGACTAGTAATCAATCGGGACGTCGTCAAACGGGTGACGCATATAATGGGTGTCATCCATATAATAGGCGTTAAAATTTTGACGGACTCCACGCTAGGATGAGATAGGTTAAGTAAAGTAAGTATTTAAATATTATTAATTGTTATTAAAGGTAAATGTTATTATTTATTATTTGTTATTAAACATAAACATAATATGGATATATATAATCAAAAGGGAGCCATTAAAAAGCATGCTCGTAATTTTCAAATAAAATATTTTATTTTAAACGCATAAATGTATTTTATTATATACTTTCTTTCCTTATTATTATTTACAAATACAAAATATAACTTTGTTAAAAAATTAATGTTATTGTAGATTATTAATATTAATTATATTTAAAATTCTATATAATTAATAATTTTTATATAATTTTTACAATTTTATACAATTGTATATAATTATAAACAATTTTATATAATATAAAAAATTTTAGTAAAAGACCAAGTAATACCTTTTTTCTTCTAAATGATACTTCAATGTATCTGCATCTAAATATACATGCGCGAGAAAGCGTCCCTGATAGGGATGCCCAACACTGGGTAACTTGTGTAACTTGCGCCGACCAATTGTTTCACTTGAACATTGATTCCGCCTAGTTACTTTATGCTGTTTATGCTATTATTGTTACGCTAAATCTAATTTTTTTGCGGAAGATATACACACACAGTGAATAATCAGAATAATCAGAGCTTTTCAGCAAAATGAATAAAGATCAAATCAGGATAAGTTAATTAATTAATATAATAATGATTAATTAAATCATCATATCAAAATAATTAATAATAAATATATATATTAATTAATTTATAATATTTTTCAATGCGTGGCCCAACAATATCTAACAATTGATTTTAAGAATTAGACGACCGTAAGCGGTCATGAAAAATATTCGGAATATAAACAGCTAACAGAGAGGAGCCGTCGTGGTTGTGCAGACTAAGTGTCATTAATAAACGAGGGATCCCGAGTTCAAATCCAGTCGGTCTCCGTTTATTTTTCCGAATCTAATAAGTATCTTTCATCTCAGAAGTGGGATTCAGCCCATGTTATCTCAGAGAGGATACAGCCTATGTTACCTGACAGGGAGAATTCAGTCGATTTTGTGTGTTGTTCAAAATGAACCAATTCGGGGAGTTAAAATACTCCAATGTCATTGTCGATCGTTCAAAAGTGGACGAAAAAAGTCGGGGAGTAAAAGTATTCCAATGTCGCGTCGATCGTTCAAAAAGTGGACGAAAAAGTCGGGGAGTAAAAGTACTCCAATGTCGTGTCGATCGTTCAAAAAGTGAACGAATTCGGGAGAAGCTCCAAGTTTCGGATAAAATTTCGATAGATGAAGATTCGGTACATTCGGGACGAATGTAATGCCAGAATGGCCGAGCTGTAAGAATTAGACGACCGTAAGCGGTCATGAAAGAGATTTGGAATATAAACAGCTAACAGAGAGGAGCCATCGTGGTCGTGCAGACTAAGTGTCAGATTACGAGGGATTCCGAGTTCAAATTCAGTCGGTCTCCGTTTATTTTTCCGAATCTAATAAATATCTTTCATGATTAAACATTTCTATGTACATTCTAGAATAATTGTAGAACATTTCGTAATCTTCAAATTCCATTTCTTTAACCAGA